TTAAGTTTTATTTACTAGAACTAATAGCACTCAGTTGCTTGCAAAAAGCATTAAGATACATAATGCAATCAGTACTAAGAGGATTCAGAAGTTATTAAATACTGGAATTTTTATTTGCATTTTACTACTCTAGCTTACTATGAGCAGCAGAATAGATAAAAATATATAGAAAGACATTTCTAAAGAAACAGTTTTTCAGCTAAAAGCTTTAAAAATCCAGTAAAATCGCTAATAAAAGTTATAAGATTAGTACAGAGAAAGACTGGAAATCTTAATTTTCTTTAGTTCAGGAACTCAGAAACTAGTGATCTGCTATGAAGCCAGAAGGTATTGCATGGAATGGGTTTTTTACAGAGTGATTCTTGTGAGCATGAAGTGAGGATTTTCTGACCTCTCCGTAGCTTTGTGTGGCATTCCAGGACTTTCTCCTGAGAAGGGGAGCTCAGGCACTGATTTTAGTATTGGTTTGGGTTTAAGTTTTGTTTTATTCTGATGGTTAAGGCTTGTATATGAACATGAGGCAATTTCAAAGGCTTTTTGGATTTCAACATCTGTCCTTTGTGCCTTGCCCAGTTCCTGGGCTGCCACAGCCCAATCACTGCAAAGCACAGAACAGACAAATCCTCTCCTCTGGATTCCACTGCCTATCATCACTTTGGCTCACACCAGCTGGAAACAGCCTAAAGCCTGAGTTCTTCTAAGGACTTCCATCCTGCTGGAAGAAGAAAGGAGGTTTTACTTCTGTGCAGGGTGGCAGATGCAGTCTGGTCTACAGCAAGGAGTGGAAGGTGGTTGCTGAATCATTTGGCTTTTGGATGGTGTATCCAAACAATAGCCTTATTCACCTCTACAAGGATCTACCAACACGCTCAAGTTTGAATCCTACCATCACTATTTCTTGCTCTTGTCAAACCCTTCTTCTCATTGTTCTACCTCTATGAACTTCAAAATTCTTTCCCTGTTTTCTATCCATGTCTCTGCCAGCTACCAACACCGTGATCACATGAGAGATCCTCACTTCTAAAGCTTCCCTCACTCTGCTTCACTCCATTCCTAGAACCTGCAGGCAGCATTCTAAGTTCTACCCCTAACTAGAGGATCCTATCCCAGACAAATTTATGTTTTGTAGGAAACTGCTTTGTGTCTCCATACTCTTAATTTCTTCTAAAACTCTCATGCTGCAGAAGATTTCTCCATAAACTCGGAAAGAGAACTAAGAAACTTCCTTAGATCCCTCTCTTTGAAACTCTCCTTCACTGTGATGTTTACAAGAAGGTCAGTTTAGTCTAATACTATTTAGTCTATTAATAGACTATAATTTAGTCTACTACTATAATTGACCAGGAAACCCAGAAGTGCCTCTCTCTCTCTTTTTATCCCACCCTTCTGCATCCAGCATGGTTTGTGTTAACCATACCCTCTGGAGCAAAGAGTTTCTTGTCTCCTAGAAAGCACAAAGCCAGAGCAGCCTGTGTTATGCCTTTGTTATGTGAATTTTTTTTCTAATGTGCTGAAAATACTTTCATTTTAATTAATGTATTCCATTCAATGCCATTTTGATTTCACTCTGTTATTAGATCTGCAGGAAGTTGAACAGATGTGTACTAGCTTAGCCAATTTATCAACTTCAGCAAACGAAATGGTTAAGACAGAAAAAGTACTGAAGTCCTTTTGAAGTGCAGCTCTCAAAGCTCTGCTCACACAGTTTCTGCAGACACAAGAACGTGGGAAGCAGCTTCCACCACTGGGATTGCTGTGGGCTGTGCCTAAAAATTTGGATAAAGCTTTTTCACCTGGGTAACAGCCCCATGTCCACCCTGGCTGGCACCAAGTACACCCCACATTATGTGACACTCATGTAACTATGAAGGCTTTGAAGCCATCACTCTCAGACTGGGATTGTATCTGCCCTTATCTGAAGTTGCTTTTTAAATGTCCTAGATTTGAAGTTTCACACTAATTTAATGATCATCCCAAAAGTAGATTTCTGTAAAAATTTTACTTCATGAAGATATTTTTCACAGGCTTCTCCCAGAGCAATAAACTGAAAATCTCAACAGGTATTAGAAAGAGAGAAAACACAACACTGAGTTAGTCTAGTTAAATGGAAAGTGGAAGGACAAAAATATTGTTAGGACACCAAATAAATTATTTTTAGTTCTTTCCACACTGCTCTTGTTTCATGGATAAAGTTTTAGGGAAGACACCAGTAGAGTAAAACCCTGAGGAGCAGTTTTGGGAGGAAGTCAAGGGGTGTGGCAGGCAGACCATGCCCAGGAATACTTCAGCAAATGCTATTATGTGACTGACTTCTGCTCATCAGTTTGATGTGCTATCGAAGTCTCTGACTGCAGAACAACCTTCTAATTAACTTCTTTCTTTAGCATATCTCCATCTGTACTTACAGCTAATGGCCATTAAATGAAGTTCAGCACTATTTCAATTTCCAGACTGAGTCAGTATCCAAACCCTCTACTAGAGCACCCCTCCACAAACTGCTTGCTTAGTTCTAAATAAATGCCTGGCCACTGGTTTTTAATATCAGAATCTTCATACATCACTCTCATTTATAAGGAGATGCCAGGTCTTCCAAATTTTCAAAGTGAACAGACAACAAAAATTAAGAAATCTGTTCCAATGCATGAGTTATATAAATTAATATTTTCTTACGCTTTAAGAACAAAAGCCACTTTTTATGAGTATCTTTTTATTTTTATTCCAGAAAAGTAAATCTTATTTAGGAAGGAGCTCTGCAATGTAATGTGTATGAATACTCAAAAATCCTTTTCATATTACAGAGGTTTGAAAGATCAAAGCACATAACACACTCTCCTGAACCTGAAATTGGTAAATTTATTACATAAATGTTTATGATTTTTTTTTTAAAGGAGGGAAAACACATACAAAAACTCAGGAGAATGATGAATACATGAATTATGTCTCATAGTAATTATGAGAAAATTAGTATGAGACAGTATTTCCCAAATTTTCTGACATTAGAGACAGCAACAGAAGATGACCATTGCCAGTGACTGTTTCACTGCCCCAGGCAACAATGGAAGTCACACCATTTCTCCCATTTGTTTACTGGATCTGGTTATTGCCCTTGGCTTCAATGCTGGAAGTCCCACTCCTGATAAATCATATCCTATTTAACCAAAATAATTAGAGACAGCGCTACAGAAAGCTGATTCAAGAGGAATAAAGCACACCACCATTTGTATTGCTCTTTTAAAAATTCACTGTAACTTCATTAAACTCGTGTTAGTGACTGTTGCAGAGAGTAAAGAATGAGGAAGGGAACTGATTTCAGTGGTGAGAAATGGCTTCCTCTGAGCAGCAACCCAAACCCCCAAAGCCTCCGAGCTCCCAGCAGGCCCAGAGCATCTCAACATGCAGCTATGTTTTAATTTCCTTCAACCACAGGACACAAGTCACAGCTCCAGCAGTGTCTGGAGCGAGATATTCTGTGCTGATAATGATGCAAAGCTTTGTTTCCGTGGTTTCCAAACGCCTGCTACGCCCCAGGGTTTTCACACCATCCACAAGATGCTGCCCCTCTGCTTGCCTGGGGTTAACACCTTCACAGGCACCACTTTAGCACTCCCTCCTTTCTGAATACCAGAAGTGTCCCAACCACCACTGGCCTCCAAAATCATTCCCTTCTCCCTCCTTAATTTTTGTAATTAAAAAATTACTTTTGTAATTTTTTTCCATTTTCCCCTCACCAATCTAACAATGATGGATTTATTTGAACCTTGCTCCTAAAATTACTACTATTAGTGTTCCCATTGAGCAACCAAGTAACAGGCAGAGGGTGAGGAAAAGCAAGGAACTCAACAGCATTTCCAAAACTTCACAGTGCTGCTTAAGCAGTCTTTTCAAATTCCTTTAATTTATCTACAGTTAACTGCCAAGGGAATCCTACTAAACTACAGTAAAAAGTAAAAGGATCAAACAGAAAAAAAAAAAAGTAAAAAGAGTAAAAGGAAAAAATGTAAAAAGTAAGAAGTAGCTGCTGAAGACTACTGAGACCCAGACAGGTAAATCTGTGTTTTGGTGTCTAGAAACAGACCACAGTGTTACATATGCCCTTGAGCTAAACAATGCCACAGATCTCTGAATAATATTGCAGCCACACTCAATTGTTACTCACAGGAGAAAGAAAACCTCAAAAAGAGGATATGCAACAAGTTTCAATTAATAACAGAAGTTAAGTTATTCCCTTTCCCCCCAAGCATGGTCTAACACAGCTCCCTTGGGACCTGCCATTGGCCCAGAGAATCAATAACTAAAGCAAATTTGTGTCTTTTTTCCCATTTGATTGCCTTGTTTTACAGTAGCATCACTGCATTGTGCTCTGGTCAGTAACAATTTCAACCAGTCAGTGCTGGTAAATCACTAAGTACCTGTTTTACACAATAAATTTTACACAGTGTAAAACTGTGTCACATTACATCAAGATGTTTAAGGTGCTTCTGCTGTTTATTGTGTTCCTCACATCCTCTGACTGTTAAACTAAATGTTTAATTGATTGTTAAACTAAATCTGCCACTCTGTTTCTTAACAAAAGCACCTGATGCCTTTAAGCTTCTCCAGTATTTTCCTGTCTTGATTCCAATTTAATTCCTTTATGCATCCATCCAAGAAGAATGTGAGGAACAATTATTTTATTTGTTTTGTTCATGCCCAGAACAGCAAATGAACATAATTTGAAATGAACATAATAGCAAATGAACAATTTGAACATAATCTGAAATATGTAGCAGCAATATGTAATAATTTTGACCTACTTACAGTCTACAGGACAGAATGTACTTAAAATGTGCATTGCTTAAAAGATAAAATTCTCTACTTACTAATGTTTGCTGTAGGAGTTGTGAATTGTACACTTTTCATCCTTTACAGGTAAGATTTCCAAGCTGCTTCAGCAGCAGATGATTCTGATATGTTAGAAGGAGACAGACAAATTACAGATATTTCATTCCTTGTAGCCTCACCTGCTTTTCCATCCTGGTTGAGGCGGGAGTATTTGGAGTGCTCGAGCAGGGGCAGGCATTGCTCAATGGGTGTCCACATGAAGGTCTCTGGACACAGCAGGTCAGAGGGCCTGTACTGAGCCTGGCAAGGGGAAAAGATGGGAAAAAACAAACAAAAAGAGAGCAGTCATATCAGTTGCACAAGAACTCTGGCTACAACTTGATTTTCCAAAGAGCAAGGAGTGGTTTTTAATCTAATCTACACCGAATGAGTGTTCAGTGAAATCACAGGCTTTAGTCATTTCAGCACCATCTCAGGAGCACAAACTCAACCTTGGCACGTGATGAAAATGTAAAATTAACATAACACACTTCCACGATATCCAACATGAACTAGCAAAGTTTTGGCTTTGCTTACTGGAACTCTGTATTTAGGTTATCCTCTGGAGTTCTGCTGAGCTGGGGCCAACACTAAAAAACTCAGCACTTCCAAAAGCAGCTCATCTCAAGTGTTGGTAATTCTAGAAAATAATGGAGACTTAACCAAAAAAAAAAAATCTAATAGAAAAACCCCAGTGAACAGTAAGCAGGATGCTATTTTTATTACATTAGTGATGGAGCAGTTTGTTCATTGCTACTTAAACAGTAACACTTTAATTCATGAAGCTTTTCCTGGATTAACTTACAGGTAATGATTAGTGAAATTCTACTATTTTTTGGTTGATTTATTAAGAAGATATTCTTTGCAGACATTCCCAGAAACTAAACAGCCTTAATTATTTTCCCTCCAGCTACACAGAAAATCACCACCTCAGCAATAATAACCTCCCCTAATCAGATCTTCATCTGATTTAAAATAAGATTATGCAGCGGCCTATAAGTCAAAATTCTATCTTTGAGCCATTACTCATGCAATCCATACACTCTCAACATTCAGAGCCATATGGTGGCAATAGCAAATTCATTTTAACTTGCAAATTCATTACACATCTCAGCTGGAAAAACAGCCATACAGTAAAGAGAATGAAAAAGTTTAAGGATACAAATTAGAAATTAAAAGACTGGGCATTATCAGAAGTCATCCTGCCGTTGATGTCATTAAGAGTTCTTCACATCAATTACATTAAATGGAAAATTGAGATTATCATCTTGAGATGAGGATGATTTACTACCCAGTATCTGCTCTGAGAAAAGGCAAAGAAGCCTTCCATGAACCTGAGCAAGGTTTGGGAAGGGACAGCACCAAGTTACTGTGACTGCAGCCTGGAGGTGAAGACATTCCTTTAGAGACACCCTTAGGCAGTAACACCCAGTTTGGGAGAATCAGAACCACCAGCAATTCCCAATTCTTTTTATACTCTTACTGTTCAACTCTTCATTGCATTTAAAGAAAAATTATCTTTTTAAAGTATTTCCCACCAACATTAAATTGTTGAGTAGGAAATAAAAGATTCATCTCTGATAAAAAGTCATCAGTGTCCGTGCAAAAAAGATAAAAAAAACCAAACTTCATGCCCAGCCTTGTCAAATACCTGAGGTAGATTTCTGAAGAGGTCTGTATGACTGATTATCTCATTTGAGAAACATCCAGGATTGACTTGTAACTACTACTGTTGGCCTTGTTGGATTTTTTTTAATTAAAAACAAATTTTTATATTAAATTAAAACAATATTTCTCCAATTCCATTCAGAAACTTAAACCTCAAGGCCCTAGAAAATCCTCTAAAGCCAGAGAATGGAAGTGACATTTTTAAATAAACCACTTTGAAATGTTATGCTCTCTAAACAGAAATAGTTGAAAGCTATGTGAAGGTAGTGCTTAAAGAACTTTTAATCATCATTACTCAGATGAAACTGTTTAAGGACTTGGGGAAAAAATATGCCTTTTCAGTCATATTTTAAAAAAATTAGAACATAACTACTTGTTGATTTAAAGACATTTTCTCAACTGGCCAAGAAGGCAGAAATAGCCAAGGAACTGTCTTTCAGAGCTGTTGCTTAAACACAGAAAATACAAGTGGCAAATTAATCTTTCCTAGTAGCATAAGTTTAACTCATGGCTCTAAGAAAAGACAGCCCAGGCATTCAGTTTCCCTAGAAGATCCTGCTCCCACATCTTGAAATTGAGATTCCCAGACATGAAAACCACTGTGCAGCCCTATTCTAAATTTCCCACTTCTGTAATGTTACAGTCTATCATAAAATGGGATGTGTAAAATTAACTGCATTGCAGCATTACTGGTTTGGTTATAATTTTAAAAAAAATCTTCTTTAGCACTGAGCAGCACAGTAAAGGGAAAAACTGATTATCCAACCATTCACTGTAGGTTCAATATTTATTTTGGTCATCAAAATACCATCATTTGGGAGAGGAAAGGGAAAAAATAGTTCTGAGGTGACTTCCTTTAGATGTTTTCTTCCCCCACAATTTAGGAGTTTGTTAATAAACTTCCCTGAAGGCACAGGAGGCTGTGGGGATGACACATCACTGACCCAGGACACTCAGTGGAATCAGAGGCAAAAATGAAAGAAGCCCTTGATTCTGTCTGAGATCCTCCCTTCCCAGAAGGGTTTCCCAACACACCAAAAGGAAGATAGCTCTCCTGTAAAGCTGTTTTATTTACACTGCTGGTCAAACCCACATCCCCTGACTCATCCCACAGAGCAGGGGGAACACAGGACGTGCCCAGGTGAGTTCCCAATGAATGGCATTTGCACTGTGGCTGTATTGAGAGAATTAAAAAGGGAACCCACAGCATTTTATTGAATCAAATGAAATTATTTCTAAGGGCTTTTGCCTCCCCCCACCCTTTCCATAAGCACCTACTCTCAATTTACTTACTTTCTTCAGAATACTTAAAACCTCATATTTACTTACATTTAAAACCAGTATATTTACTTACTGGAAAATAAACCACTACAAATCCACCTCCAACCTTTCTCCTCTCTCCCTCTATTCCTGGACTGCAAAAACACCTAAACCTGAGAACCCACACAGATTCTGCCTCATGTACATGAGCATGTGTACTTCAAGAAAAATGTTCAAATTTCATTACTCATTCCAAAATTATTACATCATCTAAATAAATTGCCTCTGAGCATACTATTTATATTCCTTCTTATTCTTAATATTGATTTGCAGCATACACCCAACATAAATCCAAAACAGAAAGGGGATCTCCTAAAAGGAAGTGCTGCAGAGGGATTTATCACAGTAGAACTCAAACAGATTTGCAAAATTGATTTTGAAAATAATTTCTCTGCTCTGGCTTTGGATTAAACCAGCATTCATTTCACAAGTGATTCAGTCTACAACTGAAAACATTTTGCTTTCTTTTATCTCATTATATACAAGCCCTTGCACAGTAGAACTGTTTAAGTTGTCCAGACCATCTTGGGAATATTTGTCTACAAGACTTTGAACAAAAAGTATCATCTTACAGATCATTCCTAAGCACCTGTCTCAGGTTTCAGCTTCTCAAACCCAATACCACCTGCTGATGAAATGAACTCTGTCAATATTAAACAACTGCACATATTTGTCTCTCTGCATCTACATTTTGCCAAGAAATAGCCAAGACACAAAATTTGCTTTTTTGAAACGTTTCTGGAAATAAAAAAATAAAAAATCCCTGATCTAGTGGGAGGTGTCTCTGCCCATGGGGATGAGACTGGATGATGTCCAAGGTCTTTTCCAATCCAAACCATTCTGTGATACCTCCATCAGACTGAAGGGAATTAAATTCTGTACAGCACCACAGGGTAAGGTATTCCATTCCTTTAACCATCCTGGTTAACTTGTCTTTTTCCCAATTTTCCTTTTTCTTCTTTGAAACAGGGGAAAAAGCCACAAGGGGAAACCATTTAAACTCCACTGTTCAAGAAGCATAACAACCCAATGAGTAACAAAGGTTCAAATTAGATTAAAGGTACAAATTAGATTAAAGATACAAAAAGATTACATAAACATACAACAAGATAAATATCTGACTAATCTACCAAATGGATTGACTAAAAAGCAATACTGAAAAATAGTATGGCTAAGAAATTCCTGAGCACTTGGTTCCTTCTACCAAGTCAACTCATTCCAACATAAATGGGACTGGTTTGTAATAAAAAATACCTGCAAGGTGTTTTATTGTCACTAATGTTTGCAGCATTTGTCCTCCCATATAATATAAAAGAGAGCCTTCAAGGTGCTTTCCTCTATACAGTGAGACATGCTGCATTTTAATTGGAAGCTTTTGGAAATAAATTTTACAGAGAGATTGCCAAGCCTAAATTAATACTTCACACCATGATGGTTTTTGTTTTATAGTTTTCAAATTACAATCAGCCAGAACTTCTCTGAACTTTTGTTCCACAGGAAGGGCAAAGGTTTTAATGAGACTTTAGTCTGGAGATTACTTTTTAAATGTTTTGAAAAATCTGAGGGATTTGGTAAGCACTTGAGATGAAAAACACCAGCAGAGTTTGTTTTTGTAGTCTAAGTAAAACTTAAAATGTAAAACTACCAAGAAAGACAATAGTCTCAAAAATGAAGGTCAAGCACCAGTAGCACTGAAAAAACAAAATAGGAAGGCTAAACTCTCATTTAATTCTTTTATCAGGTACAGTTTACATCTGTATTCTGTTTTCTCACAATAAAGCTATTGATCTTTTATTAAAAGTGAATTAAGACTGCCTTCATCTCCATTTCCAGCCAGCTGCCTGGCTACACAAACAAAGCAAAACCAAGTTATCAACAGCGACCTGCTAGAGCTGGGCAGCGCTGCCCGTGCAGGAGCATTCAGCCCTTCCCCTGAAAGACAACCCTGCTGGAATCCCCCTGCAGAGTGCTGCAGCAGAACCCTGCTCCCTGATTTCATTCCATAAAGAGAAATCAGAGTTTCTGGATCCCCAGGAGAGCCCTTGGTCGTTAACTTGACCTGCTGTGCTCTCCCAGGTCGGACAAAGCTGCGCATCCCAACCCCTCTGTGCTTCCAGCCTCTCACATGGCATCCAGCTGTGCAAGGCCTAAAAGACTTCAGAAAAACAACAAAATCCCCCCTTGCCCCAAAACTACCTCCACAAATTCACTCCCACCTCGTAGTCACTGTTTCAAATATCTTTTTAAACAAACAAAAACCCCATAAGCAATAG